CTAGTAAGTGCAAGGTTTCGACCCAATCAGGCATTTACAATACAAAATACAATATAAAACATTATTGTTATTGCAGAAGGAGCGCATATTAGAGCCTGAAAACATTTATCAATTTTTGGCGTTTCATACAACGGGATCTGCTCTCGGCAACATGTGCTTGTCAACTTTCCAATATGCCCTACACACTGTGTGTTGCCTATGTTACAGACAGATATTGCGCGTCCATGCACACATTAGCCAAAGCACACTATGTGAATGGGATTTTCGAGTTTGCAAATGTTGTAAGGGGAATTTTGTCGTCGGCGCTTCATCTGTGTAAAGAAGTACAGCACTTATGAAGTTCATGCAGTTGACTTTTGATAATTTAGCTTTCATCTTATGAACAATTCGAGCTTTAATCTGCTACGGTTGATTTTCTACCAAATTTTGAGGAATAGAATGACTTTTTATTATAACTTCTGATCTAATGATGTCATCGGCCCCAAATTTCACAAAATGTGTTGACTGGGTGAAGATCATCATACCGGTAAAAAAAAATAATAATCTTGAAAAATGTTCAGGTGATTAGGATAAACTTTCACCACAGACATCTACTCAAAATTCATTTTTCAGCATTTTTAACCTGTAGCTAGAGGGCACTTGACAATTACATGACGTCATCAGAACATGATTTGAAGAACGCTATACCCCAGCAACTAACACCGTTGAAAGCAAGTTGATACCTATTACCAATTTTAAACAATAAGCCCACTTCCGGTTTTGACTGGAAGAAAAGTTCATGAGATTTGACCCACACGAGATAAAATTAAGACTCAATTTTACCTTGGCACTTGCCACAAACAGGATGTTGCGGGAAACCGTGATTGATTTGATATGTTTTTTTATAGCATTCACGTTATATTGAAATATTGAGAATTAATAATAAATGAACTGATGATGTCATCATGATGTAATTATTTTAGTGATTTCTTTATTTTAAGGTCTGTCCGTGGTTTAACTTTGATGACAATCAAACATTGCTAAGTTACCAACATGGAGCCTCGAAAATGTGTACAAAGTCAATGGGCTGAAATAAATATAAAAAAATCAGTAATAAATCACTTGATGACGTCATTGTGACGTCATTATTTTTGTATAATATTTGTCTCAAGGTCCTTCCTTGGTATGACTTTGATGATGATTGAAGATAGCTGAGTAACCGAAATGATGCCTCGAACACGTGTACAAAGTCAATGGGCTGAAATAAATATTAAAAAATCAATAATACATCAATTGATGACGGCATTGTTCTAGGTCCATCTTTGCAAAAGGGTTGTTCATTGACATAAGTTTGATGAAGATCCAAAGTTGCCCAGGGACCAAAGTCATGGGTAGAAAAAAACGTGCACAAAACAAATGGACTCTTTGTCAGAAGAGGAAGAAGAAGAAGGAAGAAACGAGAGATTCTATGTCTGTTTGCAACAGAACATAGGGCTTTTTCGCTTTTAAATGAAACTGTCAGCGTCGTGATTGCACCTCTGAAAAGTTTCATCCTGCTGGGACATGCACTTTTGGAGATATAGGGCTTGAAAGGTAGCACCTTTAATGTCACATGACTTTTCAATAGACGACCTCATCATTCCATGAGGTCAATTTATTTGATTGCCGGTATGAGGATTTGCTGCAATACAGTGTGTATGGATTTGCAACTGTGTCCATGTAAAATCATCTTAATACCAGATGATATGGGACTGTTAGGGCCATCGGTATACACAAACTATTAAGAAACGTCGATTTCAAAGACGGGAAGAAAAATAATACAAACATCAATTTCACACAATTCTTTCAAAAGTACATCTTATTTCCTATCAACAGTAATTGGACAAATGACTACTCTGAACAACTGTATCTGCGAGTGCACAGCAGTACAAACTCTGATTGAGGAATTTAAGTGTGTGCTAAGAACTACACCCAAAACACTGAAACTGGTCCTGAAGTTTAAGGATTATCAGAGTTAAAGAATATGTTAAAGTGTCCTTAGTATTTATAAAAGAAAAGAGAAAAACTGCATTAGGGTATTTCACTATTGTATATTATATAAATACCGGTAAAGGTTTTTTTATGTAGTATATACTTAAGAAAACATGGGAACACTTTCAAAATATCTGACACTAGTGACCACTGAAAACCTTGCATAATGCTCTGAAACCTGTGCTCACAATTTCTGCAAAAATCTTGGAAAAAAATATGCCGGGGACATGTACACATACATTTATATATCTCATGTCCTATTGGTTTTTTTTTTTAAATAATTTTATTTTGATAAAATCCTTCTGTAGAACGTTCTTGATACAAATTGCATTGCCATCGATAACATCTACATGTCGAAAGACTTCATTCACGTATGTGCTGGTAGACATTCTTCTGTGTCATCTAAAAAAAAACAAACGAACATAATAATAATTTATTGTGCAACAGTTATAAGTTCATGCATGAAAAAAAGTAAGAACTTTCTGCACTTTTGATATCACTTGGCTACATGAGTAGGAATGTTACAGTAGGAGACTGGATACATTGATATTGATCAATGAGTGATTCGCATTAGTACATGCATGGGTCCTCCACCTCTCTGTGCTTCATGACTGCATTAATCAGAACTGGCAGTCTGTTTGTTTGTATGTCCGAGCAACAGTAGGCCTTTTCACCATTACCAGTTAATTTCCTTGCTTTGTTGTACTGCAGCTTCCTTTATCGTGGGAAGCCGTGCATTTGATCGATATGTAACTGCAGTGACATTGAATTCTAACATGAAGAACATCTGTGGCTTTCACTTGCTTCACAGCGTGAAGGAAGCCTATACACAAGAAACAAATAAGGAAATTGAAACATTCAGCTTATATCAACATGTAAATAATCAAATACTGTGAACCAGTGATAATATGGTTTTGTTTTGGGAAATGAAAAATGAAAAAAAAAATGAAAAATGCACATTGAGTGTTTTGGAAAAAATGAAGGAAAAATCCGCTGTCATGTTTTAGGGCATACATTTTTCTTCATAGGGGAACTTGTCCAAAAGCTTGAACCACAGTTGAACGCGGACACAGTGGTTTTCACAGGTCCTTAGCAACCAGTGGCCTGTCCACTGTCTGTGCCAACTTACCATATCAAAAGCCCCCTATTGTTATTTAACTTTTACACCAGGCGCAGCTAGTGGAATCCGACCGCGGCAGCTGCGCTTGTTCCTCAGACACTTTGGAGAGCGGCAGCCACCACGTCTATATTAATTTATTGGAATCTAGTCCCCTAGCCCTTAATTGTTGCACAAGAGTCATGTTTAGTTGACTTGAGGTCCTTGAGGTCTTCTTTATAAGTTACACTTTTGTGCCACAAAGTTTGTCAGTATATGATTGGTTAGCCCGAATTCATGCACTTTGAAATAGTTGGCACTGGCCAAACCCTTTCACTGCTGTAATTACAATGTCAATTGTCTTCATTCAGAGGCACACTTTTAAATTCCCAATGACTGCTGGTATTCCGATCGGAGCTTGCTATCCAATCTCAAAGAAATACTTTGTATAAATGTTTGAGGATAACCACCTCCTATTGCAGGAGCTGTCATTCACTGTTTAAAAAGGGGATTTTTTTTCTTTGCAGATTGGATAATTTTTTCTTTTATTCTGATTGAAAAGGGCCCTCGGCCGTTAACAATTTAGAGAGGGAATTAGAATTCTTCTTTATCTAAAAAAAATGCTTATTGTTGGTCATTTTTTAGCACTATTTTTCAGGGAGAAAAGGGGCGTAGGTTCATTTCAGACTGAAGTTTTTCAATCTGAAAACAAAGACTGGGCATGTATTTCAGAAATCTTGCATGTCTTGGCCTCTCAAATAAGCATTTTTTCCCAATGCTTAAAGACTGCAAACCCATTTTCTGCTTTAGATTTTTGTGTCTCTTGTTACTATGTTTTTGGGTAAAACTTAATTATCCCCGAGTTTATGATCGTATATAGAAACACACCATACATCATTTTTCTCTAACTGTGCCAGCAACCTCCAGGTCATCATCCCGGAGCTACTTTGAGAAGGGTTTCAAGTGAGATTTTAGACTTAACAGTCTATAGAATATGTACACGTTAATTAAAGTGGTGAGTAAAGCGGGTATGTTAGTCTCAGACTTTTCTTTTTGAATAGATGTATACCAATATGGTCAATTGGCCATTGGGTATATTTTTGGTGAAGGGCAAGAGGAAAAAGCAAATTTAATATACGCCCATAAAAGTGTAAAGGCTGGTCCATACTTCAGGCAAATGCGAAAATACAGCGAATACGACGTCATGAAAACTTTGCAGCAATATTTCGCCAGAGATGAAGTGAGTTCAACTTTTGTGAATTCTGACCTTGAAATTTTGCATACGTGCTTGCTTTCCTGATGAATATGCACTAACACATTTATAATGAGCGTTTGCGAATCACAGTGGTGGAAAAATGTGCATAGTGTTTGCACCGGGCCGGACGGTTGGCAAAGAAGGCATGAGGGAAATGCAGCAACCAGTCAGTGTACAATTCCTGCCAAAAAGGGTTGCAAACATTCCACTAAATGTACATCGAATACGACTGCAGCTCTACAGTTGGAAGTCAGAAAAAAAAACACTGCTGCCACCAGTTTTTCTGCAGGTTCATTCAAAGAGTGATCTCATGTCTATATTTGTGTTTTCTGTGTTCATGTACGTACTACTCATATTCGAAAAGAGTGTGTTTCCACAAAATTTCCAGATGTAGCAAGAGGCTAATCGCCCGCCCTTCCAGATGCGTCACACACTCCTACAACACAATACACAGACATCGTTTGCCAGTTTCCTATAGTCACGACAAACGTAAAGCATGATTAAAAAAATCAATGATTTTATACATTGATTACACAAACTTCAAAACAAAACTTCCCTTCCCAATTCGGATAAAAATACGGCCAAATAAGTTCGCTTGACTACTCTCACATCTCAAGAGCCCAACTAATCGCCCAACACTAAACTATTCATATTGCTGTAAAAGAGCTAGCGTACCTGCCAATGACACTGTATGTTTTCATGATGTACGTTTTGCAAGACACAGCTATCCAATCACAATACATGCATTCCTTCATGACATCATGCTTCTTCAGCGACCATCTCGTATGCGGGCAGCCGCGCCATGTGGTGGGCGAGTGCACTCAGACTATTAATAAATTGTGTCATGCAGCTTGTGTCGAAAATCATAAGACAGACGGAAAATAAAATAGAGGTGGTGTCTGTGAACAAACACATAGCTGTTCCCAAAATGTTTTTTTATTTTCTTTTGATGACTGTCAATGAGTATTATAAGTTTGCAATCAACTGGAATTCAAATAATTGCCAAAGTGGCATGTATAACTAAAAACAAATGATCACTGCAATTGAAGGTATAGTGCATGAGATATGACGATTTGTGTGTTAAAATACAACTTCCAGTCAAACCAGAAGTAGAGGTCACATGAGGTCAAGATATCACATCCCGACCTTGTGCATACCAAATTTGAGTTAAATCAGTCAAATAGTTTACTAGTTATTAGACTGTAAAGAATGAACTTTTGAATTGAGGTCACGTGACCCCTGATGACGTCACAATTACAAAAAGTTTCGCGGCCAGGCCTACATGTGTGTGCGGTTTAGCTTTCATGATCATCCATGGCGATTGGAAGCCTTTTAAAAATCCCTGGATCGATACTTTCACATGTATTTGCTTTTTCTAATCTCACATGCACATTAACATTTTCCATATGACAGTGAATTTCATTATTCTAAACACATCACAGTGTATTTGATTAATTCATTGGCATTTCCAAAAGTGACAAAAACCCGCCGGCAGAAAGTCGAAATTTTTCAATGTGGAGTTTTTCCTACCATTTTACTTCCTTTAATCTAAAGAACAAATTAGCAAAGTGCCAAAGCAAAATGTTGTTTAATAGTTTCATAGCAACTGGAAACAGACAACTAACAAAAAGCTTAGCCTCTGTGTTTCTCTATTTTCAGGAAGTGACAAAAAGTCACATCGTTATCCTTGCACGAGTCTGGGTGTACACATGCATGTGGATGATGCTGTACAGGTACACGTTCATCTACATGAACACCTGTGCGCTTGTTGAAATACTGGATAGTACTCTCTGTGTGTGATTTGACTTTGTGCCGAGTAACATATGTTTCAGGCATTGCGCGAATCACCTATGTAGCATATACAGAGTCTGCTTTTTTGTGACTCTCTGAGAAGAATTCACTGCATTTATGTCCCAAACACGTTGCAGATGCAGCGCCCACATTCCGAGGATAACCAGTCAATATACGTGAACATGTACATGTACACTGAGTGTCTGTCTGTGCACCATGCATAGAATATTCGGGTTGACCGTGGTCGCTGCGGCAGGCATTCATAATTCAAGACAGGATCAGCATAACAATTGTGTTCATCCCGCCTCATTAAATGTTCTTGGCATGAGTGAACTTCAATGCAGTCACCGCAGTTCCCAGCTACAGGGCTTAACCGGTGACCACGTGTGGTTGGACAAGCTCCCTAAAAACCACCAACTCCTTTCTGTTCTGAAGATTTACAAAGACTTCAAATGACATGGGGACTAATTGAAAACTTTGGGATCTTTTGAAGGCTGATAACTTTGCACTATTCTTCTGAAACCAATTTGAATAATTTCTGCAGTTGTCTTTCAATAAATTTAGTGGTGCCATGTATACATACAAGTAAATATCACTTCCTGATGGTTGCAGTCTTGCTACGAGTAGTTTGATGAAGCTGTTCTCATCCTTCTCAGGATCAGTCCTGCTTCAATTGCACCACCATACCAGGGACATCCAACATGTCCACCCTCATGTCTGTGCTGATGAACATCTGTATCATCGCAAAAGGAAAACACGTTTATTACAGGTGCAGTAGTTCATGTGTTGATGATGATGTTGTTGAACACATATTCATCGGCAAAGCAACTTTGCATTCTCACTAAACGGGGCATACGCAGGGACTTGAATGTTAAAGTGAGGGACCAGGCACATAGATGTTGATGGTGCGACCTTTTATGATGGTGATACATGGATGTACCTTTCCCACTCACACACCCATACACTGTACACGCAAACTTTGATTCATGACTGCATTAACCAGAACTGGCAATCTGTCTGTATGGCAATGCAACAGTAGGCCTTTTCACCTGTTAATTTCCTTGCTTTGTTGTACAGCAGCTTCCTTTATTGTTGGTACCTGTGCTTCTGGTAACTGCAGTTGTGTTAAATTCCAATGCTTGGAACTAAGATGGAGAACAGATTTGTCTCTAGCTTTCACTCCAGCAGTAGCAAGAAGGATACCTATACACAAGAAGCAAATATGGAAATTGAAACATTCTGTATAATAAGCGTATGTCGACATGTAAAAATAACATAGGTCTACATTCAAATTTCATACATTTTTGTATATTTACCATGAACCTGTAATGAAATGTAAATTAATTTTAGATTTTTTTGCCCTGCCCGATATGTACTTTAACACTGTATACTAAATCTAATATTAATTTGCATCTGGGTGCAAACCCATCTTTGAAATAACCATAATGGAAATGGTTTGTCTTCTGAGGGCATAGATATAAAATTCGGTATGCGAGGTGAGGTTTTAGGGGACTTTAGACAGTTTGATGCCCGTGTCCAGCACAAACGTAAAACTTGTGCAAATTTTTGTACTATATCCTGATTTGATTTGCCTTTGAATAAAATCCATCATAAACCACTGAATAATGTATTCAGGAGGGAGCATAATGAATTTGTGCAAGTTGATCTCCGAATTGTGCTAAACACCTAGAATGTACATAATCATTGTCAATCGCCTTCTTTTATCATTTGGAAATTGTCGGGCAGCCATGTCGAAATGTTAAAAAAGGCCATTTGTAGAGTTCAAGTTACTCAGGATATGTCAATGCAAATTCAGAGCTAATTTGAGTAAGTTCTGTTTCCCCTGACATCACTGTCCAGAGCTACAGAGCACAGAGAGTGCAGACAAAAACTTGCAATTGAGAATGTTTTTTAATACTATTGCATACCGGTTCCAGCACTTCATCCAGCTTCCAAACCTGGCTGCCCATAGCACCATACCGTCTGTTTGTTGGGTGCACCCATGCTCACGATCATTGTGATCATGCCATTTTGGTACACTTATTCGGTACTTCTTCGGGAATGTCAATGTTGATGCCTGAATTTGGTTTTCATTCAGCTTTCGTGGGATAACCTTGGAATCCTCTGATCAAGCAAAGTCCATTAAGCACTTGATTAAACACAATTTGTGCAATGTCGGGCCCAGGAAGTCCCAAAGGATCCAAAGAAAGAGATGAAAAGTACAAAGTGCTTACGTCCGACTGGTGCCCGACCCGCGAAACAGTGCTACGATGGCAACAGAGAAGGACAGGGACCTGTTTATGGCTGGGCTGCACCCAATATATATACACGAATATATTCAAATCACTTTGCACAGAAAGTAATTATTATCATATGCATACAAAATTTTTTTATTTCACAAATGTTTATACATTAAAAATTAAACAAAGAAATAACAAATGATCCCTATGTTGGTCAATGAATTAAACCGGGCACCGTACAGTTTACAAATCAGCCTTGCCATGGCAGAGGAATTACAGGGAAATTTGGGATCACAAATCACAAAACTTAAACAGTGATTTGTAAAGTAGCATTTGTGACAATTAATAAAGAAGACTCTATCACGGTGTGCACATTCATCGCCAATTCGCCGATCCTTTTTTTACTTCACAGACATGCATAAAAATGCAACAATTCCCAGGCTTAAAGCACAGGTGCATGGCCCTGCTTATGAATAATATCTTCAAGCAAGAAGGAATCATGTTTGCGCCATGTTTAGTGCAATCATGTCGTGGCTGTGATGCACTGGCACCGGGCCCACAGGACTAGACTAGTTGCGACTGCACAACCACTGCGACTAGTCGACAATACCATTAAGAAGGTAGACAAGGTATTGGTGGTCACTCACGACTATCAAGTTGTGTAGTGCGTGTGAACCGACTAGCCAAGCTCAGTGTACAAACATTGCGTGGGCATTATGGGCAGCATGTGGCTGCTCCGTGAACACATGTGGTGCAGCCCTCCATGCTCTGCAAGCTGCGGGGCCTGGCGGGTACTCCACTGCATCGAAGGCTCATACATGTACATGAACAGTCGCGGGCGCCACAGGTTATGCGCTGCATACGAGTTCCAGCCACGAGTTGTGGCACAGTCCGACAAGTCGCTGCGTCACAACTAGTTGACTATCTGGAAATTGATAGTCGTGACTACAAACACCTTTTGGTGTCGCATAGGCCTACATCTAACCTGTCTCCACGATGAAAGCAGAGCTCCCAAGTCAGAGCCACAGCCTAATCCAGATGGTAGCAAAGGCGAAAGTGCAAACTTCGCAGAGCAGGCAGGAGGTAACACAACGGCAGGTCAGCAGGGTCAATGTACGATGGCAATTGTACCAGTTCAAGTCAGATTCAAAGATGGTATAAAAGCTGTAAAGACGTACGCATTCATGGATCCTGGAAGCACTGTCACCTTTTGCAGTGAAAGATTGGCTCAACAGCTTGGAGCAAGTGGTCCATGTAAGCCCTTTACTTTGGACAACATGGAGAAGCCATACTCAATGAAGACATATCTCATCGACGGACTGAAGCTTAGTGACTTGGACATGAAGAATGAGATTGATCTCCCAGTCACATACACCAAAGGCACAATTCCGGTTTCCAAGCACCATGTCCCAAGGACAGATGACACCTCCAAGTGAGATCACCTGAGAGACATCAGTTTGGCGGAAATAGATGCAGACATTGGACTCCTGCTAGGCAATAATGTGGCAGATGCTTACACTCCGTTTGATCTGAAGACAGGTCCAGCAGGTAGCCCTTATGCTGCTTGGAATCTAGTGAGAGACAAACAAGTACAGAATGACATAAGTTGTAGCTTCATTGTGAACAAGGCTGAGGTCACAGCAATAACAGAAGTAGACCAGCTGAAGCATCTGGAAAAACTAGTTCGAGAAACTATCAACATGGACTTCCCTGAGAGGCTCATCGATGACAAGAAAGAGTATTCTCAGGAAGACAAGCGATTCTCGGATTTGGTGAACGAGCACACCACTCACACAGATGGTCACTACTGTATTGGCTTACCATTCAAAACAGATGGTGTGAAACTACCTGACGACAAGTCCATGGCATTGAAGTGCCTAGACAGCTTAAAGCGTAAGCTGCAGAGAAGTAGTGAGCTCCATGATGACTACGCAAAGTTCATGTCAAAGATCATAACTGAAGGCTATGTTGAGCAAGTTCCATTGGAAGACTTACACCAGGCAGATGGCAAGGTGTGGTATATTCCACATCATGCAGTGTACCATCCACGCAAACCCGGCAAAATTAGGGTGGTCTTTGACTGTGCTGCTTCATACTTGGGTACATCTTTGAACAGCATTTTGCTACAAGGACCCGATCTCACAAATAGTTTGGTTGGTGTACTACTGAGATTCCGTTTTTCCAAGTACAGGTTCCAAAAGACCGTGACTGCCTTCAATTTTTTTGGTGGCCCAAAGCAGATCTTGAAAAACAGCCAGTTGTGTATCACCTGAAAGTCTACCCCTTCGGAGCAGTGTTGTCACCTAGTTACTCAGGTTTTGCCCTTAAGCAGACTGTAGAGGATAATGTTGACCAGTGTGGAAGGGCTTCGTGTGAAGTAGTAGAAAGAAGCTTCTATGTGGACGACTGCCTTGTCTCTGTTGGTACAGAACAAGAAGCTGCTCATTTGATCAAGAGTACCACAGCCTTGTGCAAAGAGGGTGGTTTTTGTCTGACAAAGTGGATGTCAAATAGCCATCAGGTTCTGCAGATGGTGCCAGTAGAGGAACAAGCAAAAGACATCAGAGAGTCGTCGATAGAGAACCAGAATCTTCCCAATGAGCGAGCTCTAGGGGTGTATTGGTTTGTTGAATCAGACAAATTGGGGTTCAGAGTCAAGCTGCCAGATTTGCCTGCTACACGACGAGGAATACTGTCCATCACGAGTTCAGTATATGACCTTTTGGGCATTGCAGCTCCGTTTGTGTTGAAGGCCAAGCTTCTCCTTCAAAGTCTTTGTCAGCAAAACTTAGGATGGGATGAAGAAATTCAAGGTGACGATCTTCAAATCTGGAATCAGTGGTTCAGCGAGGTGGAAGACCTAGATCAGCTGAGGATCAGGAGATGCTACAAGCCATCAGGGTTTGGCAAAGTTGTAAGCTGTCAGCTTCACATGTTTTCAGATGCCAGTGATGTAGGCTACAAAGTGGCTGCTTATCTGCCGCTTGTTGATGAAGTTGGGAGTATCTGCTGTTCTCTTGTCATGGGAAAAGCAAGGGTTGCTCCATTGAAGAAGACAACTATTCTGCGTATGGAAATGACAGCAGCCACTATTGCGGTTAGACTTGGCAAACTACTCACTCAAGAGCTTGGCTAAGATATACAAGAAAACTACTACTGGACAGACAGTATAACGGTACTGTNAATACCTTGCAAATGAGAGTTGTCGGTTCCAGACTTTTGTCGCTAATCGACTTGCAGTCATCAGAGATGCTTCCAACTTGAAGCAGTGGAAGTACGTGAATACCAAACTCAACCCTGCCGATTGCGCAACACGAGGTCAGTCAGCAAAGAAGTTTCTTTACTGTTCTATGTGGTTTGAGGGTCCAGCCCTTCTGTCGCAGCCGGAAACAGAATGGCCCCAGCAAGATGCCCGTGTCACCCAACTACCTGATAATGACCTTGAGGTGAAGAAAACCGTACTAATAGCTACAGAGTCACCTACCAGTCCGGTCGACAGACTTCTTGAACACTATTCAGATTGGACCAGACTAAAACGAGCCGTTGCTTGGATATTGGTTTGGATGGAAAACTCCAAGACAAAGTGGCCGCACGTAAGAAGTTGATGCAGAACTTAGAGAAGAAAGAACCGATTTCCTCGTGTAATTCAACAAAGTCTGAATCAAGCCAGGGCAGAGTTGAGCAAACTCAAGAGGCCAGAGATTCGAGCCACACTCGGCTTACCACAGATAACTTTGAGGCTGCTGAGAGGGTTTTGGCGTACCATGTCCAGCAGAAACACTGGAAGGACGAAATCAAATCGCTCCAACAAGCAGAGGGAAAGCCACTCTCAACAGTAAAAAAGTCTTGTTCATTAAGAAAGCTTGATCCGAAGCTTGTGGGGGGCTTTGTGCGGGTTGGTGGTCGGCTTTGTAGAGCAGATGTTGAGTTTGGGTCCAAGCACCAGATATTGCTGCCAAGGGA